CTCTCTCTCTCTCTCTCTCTCTCTCTCTCTCTTTCTCTTCCGTCCATCTTTCCTTTGCATTTGGACGTTTGTCACTTAGTCTTTTCTTTATAACTGAACTAATGTACACTCATGTATATTGAAAATGAAATAGGTAGGTATACAGGGTGTCTCGTACTCAATGGTACAGCGCTTGTGGGCTTGTGGGAAAGTAGTGTGGACCAAACTGAACAAAAAGTCTACCATTTTGCGATCTTCGCAATAGTTTTCGAGATATTAATCATTAAAAAAAAATTTACACCAAGTATATACAAGTGTATCGTACATTAGGTACATCTTATCTAAACCAAAAATATTTTAACAAATAAAAATTGTCCAAAAACAAATAGATCATACTAATTGCCAAGTATTTGATTAGACATAGAGACAAAAATATTTTATTTTAAATCACAAAAAATTTTTTGAATAAACCATTTAAATTATTCAAAATTATATGCAGCAAAAGTTTAATGCCATTGTCTATCCAAATAACTTTAAGTTTCATAAAACAGACTTAAAGTTACTAAAATGATCAATAGAATTATAGTGAAGCAAAAATTTGGCCATTGTGTAAAATTTTTTCTTTTTTTAAAATAATTAGTATCTCGATAACTATTGCGAAGATCGTAAAATTGTAGAGGACTTTTTGATTCAGTTTGGTCCACTCTACCTCCCCACGAGCGCTGTATCATTGAGCACGAGACACCCTGTATATTGAAATTTGAAAGCAAGCAAATTTTTAGTGCAGTGCAGTGATAAAGAACTAACCTATATTTTTATTTTGATATTTTGCGAAAATATTTTTTCTTATTTTTTTTTATTTATGATGCCGTTTCATATCTTATTCAAATTAAAAGAAAAACGCAATATGTCTTTATAGTTTTATGCATACATATATGTACGTTTTATGTTTGACATATAATATATACTTTATTAAAGATTGACAGACGTAAATATATTAAGGGCGATATTATAAAATCGTTGATTAAAAAAAATTATTTTTAAGCTCAGATTAGATCAGAAGAAACGTTTTTCACGCACATTTCATGTACGTCATATATTTATCATTGTTAATTATCACCAACTACAGCTTGTAATTAATTTAATTATAATTTGAAATGCTCTTTTATTTTCATATATCTTTAGCATTTATATCATTAGTCGACATTAGTATCAAAGTAATATGTAAAATTTATAGGTATTAATAAATTTTTTAATAAACAATTAAGATTAAGTAAACATTTTGTTTTTAAATTAAATTAGGATTAAATTAGGGAAAATATTTTTTACATACATTTATCGCCTGTTATAACTTTTAATTAATTTAATTATAATTTAAAATCTCCAATTTTTTATTTTCATATATCTTATTTAGTATATGTCATATTCAACGTTGTTAAATAACAAATTAGTACATAAAATTTATATTTAATTAATAATAAATTTTTCATGAAACAATTATATGTAATCAAATGTACTGTCCTTGCTTTAAAAAAAAAAACAAAGTGCACTCTTTCATTTTTTATCGCCCATATTCTCCAAAACTGTACTTTGCAGTCGAAATATCGATTGTATACAGTTCGCGTTACTTGTATTTAGTTATCAACGTGTGGACAACAGAACCGAACAAAAGGCCGAGACGACGTAACAATCATCCTATGATGCCAAGTTCTATGGTAAAAATTATATTGTATATAAATATATTACATATTACATCGCAATGTTCCCTGATATAAATTCGATAAAAAATAAAAATAAAATTTAAGATTTACTTGTCTCAACAAAATTTTTAAGATTTGTCAGTACCTATTAAATTATAAAATTATAATATTATTTCATGTTATTTCCAAAAATCATTTTTTATCTCTCGATGTAAGTAAATCTTTTATAATTTATGATATTACCATTATTATGCTGCCAAGATTAATATAATCTATTGTCAAAAATGTTTTTATTCATAAATAGTGTAAAGTATATAAAAAATAACGTAAGTATATAAAAGATATTTGCATATATCTTTGTAGGTATAAAATATATATTTTGATCTTAAAAATGAATCCAATAAAAAAGATCCTCCTTGTATCATCAATCCTCCTTGTAATATTAATTCGTAACTTTTCTGACATTGAGTATTTTTCGAAGTCTTAAAATATATTTATTAGTGAAAACACAATTCACGTCTACCAATTTTCTATCGACGAGTCATGAAAAAGTTATATACAATGTCTCGTAATTCCCAAGCAGCAGTCCTGGTCAAGAATCATTGAAACATATAAGAAGACATCTGAAGATATTGATTTTTATCGATGCTTCTCTCGTGTCATAGTCCGTTTCTCCGCAACCTAGTATGGTGCAAAAGTTTGGAAATACGAAAACTACGAACAGTGCCGTCGGTCTGGGCAGCCATGAGGGAAAATATACACCAAACAGTTCCGTTCCCGACTTAGCTCAAAGGTTAATAGTAGATCTTATGTTTAATTTGATTTTACAAAACGATAATTTATAAATATAAATATACTGTTAAAAGATATTTCATTATAAAATGAAGCTATGAAATTATTAAGAGAACAAAATAAGCTTTATCAGAGAATGTCGTAACATATTTCCTCTGATTTTATCCCCTTTATTTTCCTGATAGATTTGCTGGCCTTTCCGTTAACACTGGAATGAACGACTGCATGTTTTTGAGGACTGCGACGCCTATGTATCATCCCGAACTGTCACCCGCAATGTCACATACTTATATCAATCAATACGCTGGATCCGAGTACCATCTGGACAGAGTCCAGACACCACAGATGCCTTACGTGCCTTTCGACGTCGATACTGGTTACGAAGATTACAATCACTCCGTTTATCGTCACAATGCTGGGTACAAGAATAATTTTCTATAGCTTTCAGCATTTTTATTCGTGTCTAATTTTTTCTATTATGAATTGCTTTACATATCATATGTAATTATTGAAGCCTTAAGTTGCATGACGTTTTGCATGACATTCTTGTTAAGAGAAAATTATTTACAGTAATTTACAGGCATTTTTATTTTTCAAATATAGTACAGTAAAAGCATTTTTATTTTTACCTCATTTCGCTGTATTTCAAAAATTCTCCAATGTTATTTTAATCAGTTAAAAATATTTGTTAAGTATGAAAAACAGTATTGTCAGGATTGCTACAGAAACAGAAAAAAATATTCTTTGACTTTTCTCAGTTTTTCTAATCACTTTTTGAAGAAATTCTCTTACTGAAGAAAACACTCAATAAAAACGAGAAAAAAATATTACAATTTTTTTTTATTAAAAAGAAAAATATAAACAAAAAAACGGAAAAATACAATAAATAAAACAATTTTTATATTTTTAAAGAATTTTTAAAAACAAGAAAAATCTGTAGTTGTAACATTGTTTTTCTTTTTAACTATAATCAGACTAATACAATAACATTTTGCAAATCACTAAGAGTGTAAAAAAAATATGTGAAACATTTACTTCTTTAAATGATTTAAAAAGTTTGTTTAATAAGTTTAAACAGTTTTAAAAAAGAAAGAATTAAACAATTAAAACGATAATATAATACCTTAACATTTTAATAGGGAAGTCATTAAGTGAGAGTTATTGATTTGTATAGAACTTTCATGATTTGTAAGTTCCTGGGTTACACTGATAAAATATTCCTAAATACGCAATAGTTTTCGAGAAATTAAAAAAATTTTGCTACTTACAAACTTTGCACTAAAAAATTTGGATTTTTGAAGTCCAGCACAATTAAGTACACATATTACAAATATTGTACAAAAATATTGAAAAAAGAAAAAAAGATATGAAAAACATGAATGAGCCAATCAGACGGTAGACAATGCACTAAAATCATTGTATATTTACAGATATTTTACTAGTATATTGAAGTGTGTTCTACAAACCGTAAAAATCTCATCAATAATTCATTTTGCTTACCTTTGTTAGTAAATTATCTGACATTTCTGGTTTCTCATATCTGTAGCAATTCTACTAATTGTAAGTAGTGTTAAAGCTACATATTGAAATTGATATAATTTTCATTCTACATATAATTACAAAATTATGAAATTTACGAAATGTAAAAATTATTCCTGTATCTTGCGTTCGTTAAAAACTGTTTCAATGAGTTCCGATTTTCGGTTGAAGCTACAGTAGATGCTATTCGGAAAGATCGAGTTCTCGAAATGAGCAGCAGGATGAGTTGCCTTTGCCGCCTGGATGGTCGGTTGACTTCACACTCCGTGGTCGAAAGTACTACATTGATCATAACACCAAAACTACGCACTGGTCGCATCCGCTCGAGAAGGAGGGTTTGCCCACGGGATGGGAGCGAATCGAGTCTCCCGAGTACGGTGTTTATTACGTCAAGTGAGTGAATTTGAAAAGAGGATTTTCGATATATGAAAAATGTATCACAACGAAAATGCATCCTGTTTTTCTCTTTCAGCCACATCACGCGCCAGGCGCAGTACGAACACCCATGCTACCCACATGAGATGCAAGCAGTGCGGGTCGTGTCGCCACCACGGCACACTCATTTTCACTCTCACAGTGTCCTCGTGCCGGCCAATCCTTATCTTAACGAGGAAATACCCCACTGGCTGTACGTGTACAGTAGAGCCTCGATAGCTTTAGATCGCAAACTTCGTTGGGAATTATTTCGCTTGCCTGAGCTGGATTGCTTCAATGCCATGCTCACCAGGCTGTACAAGCAGGAACTAGAGGAGGTTGTGATGCGTTATGAAGAGTATAGGTGAGGAATGAGATTTGAAATAAGATTGATATAATCTTCAACGCATGGGTAATCTGGTTACATTTGTATTTTGCATATCTATCTTTACAGATCAGCATTACTGTGTGAAATGGAACAGAGATTGAAGGAATTGAATCCAGAATCTGGCGGTTCCAATGTTGGTGCTATTGCCTTACGAAGATCTCTTCCCTGAGGAGGGAGGGAAGAGAGAGATCTGCCGAATAATCAATTTTTAATACATTGTACATTTTTTTCTTGACTGACTGGGGAAAGGTTCCTCAGAAGCGTTATGATAAGTGATTAATTGCTCTGTATTTTGTACACGAGTAGATAGTATAAAGCCTAAGAGATTATCTTTTTTGATATGTATTATGCAATGCTACATGAGAGTTCTAAGAAATAATAATTATTTAAATGTTACCTAAGACTCGTCAGCAGTTGTTTTTTCGTTTTCTTCCTCTATCTGGGCAACCTTGGCCTTGTGTGCGACATCAAATTGATTGGTGAGTGTCATGCCTGATACCTGATACACGTGCATATTTTGGGATGCACCAGTCAAGAGTCCATAAGCTTGTCCTGTAAAAAAATAAGTGTCCCGTGTCTTCGATAAAAATAAAAAAATCGATAAAATATGGATTTACTTCGCTCTTTAGGATCTTCTGGTATTTTATCTTTCATGAGCACATAGAACATGACACCAAGCGTATTCCATGTCACGAATGCGTAAATTATCGAAAGTTTTCGTCTAAAGTGCATGGCGTCATGTTTGTTTTTTATGTTAAACCACTGTTCCAAGAATTTTCTCATCATTTTTTAAGTTTATGCGCGAGCCCAATACCACATAACCTATAAAAAAATGAGAACTTCATAAGTCATGAAAAAATGTACATACGTATGCGTGTGTACATCACTTTATTGCATTAAAATTATCAGTAAACAAATTACAAAAAATGGAACATAAATTAACAGCGATATCACAGTTTAACTATAAAATTATGATAGTAGCTGTCAGCTTTTAAGGTGCCTTTTCATACGCAGCACGCAGCAGCAGCAAAATGTCACGTGATTTAAATTTTTCAGAACCGTTTCCACCGCATTTGTTGCGCATAAAAAAGAATTTTGCAGTAACATATTGAAGTTTAACCTTAATTTATAATAATATTAATATAAGTACAAATATCAATAGCGATATATCTATTGAGTATATCTATTGTATAATTGCATTTTTACGTATCTTAATTCTTATTATATTGACAATTAAATAACCCTGCTCTGGCTCATATAGCTCATTATTTTATTTATTAATAATTTTTTATCAATAATTTTTTAAATTACAATACAAGATTGCTTTATAATAACCAAGTTTAAAAAGTTATAATTGCGGTTTATCATTTACGTTTTCGATATCGATAGATTAAAGATGATCTCAATCGCGCGTATACATATATTAGACCTATTAGGACCTATTAAAAATAAATTAATCATAAACATGTTTCCGTACTTCTTCCTCAATTTTTCATTATATTTATTTTCTGTTGTATATCATATCACGAGTTATATTTTCTGTTATTATATATATATCACAAGTTTATAACACATGGCTTGCACACGGCTTTTTCAGCTTTGCAGTTTGCTACTCGTTCGCTTTTGCTGTTCATTCGGTTGAACTTTAATAAGATACGGCTAAGGCCGCGGTCCGAATCATACTTACAGTACAATCATTTCTCGCGTCATTCAGTCCGAATCAGATAGCACGCTAAGGTGATTTTGTTTCGGACCGACTGTAAGCACAGTTTATGTGACCCAGAAAATCTCAACATAACCTGTTACGTAACCTGAAAGATATAGAGTATATGGGCTGAACTTCCGAAAACGACCCACGCTTAATTGTTATGATTTTTGGCAGAAATACTCGGAATGATGTCAAATG